GTATGAAAGAGTTCGATTGATTATGAGTGATTGAGGATGACAGAATAATGACAGATGGAAATACTCGCCAGACCACTGTCACTCCCCCTCTCCCGTAACTGTCCTTTATCGCCCTCTCCTCTTAACTCCCCTTCGCCATCCGATCCCCGCATTCCCCTCTCACTCTTTTACTCGCCCTCCGTCTCCCTCCCTCTTGCGCTTCCTTACCCTGCCCTCACCGTCCTGGTCCCGTTCCCTCCGTCTCGTTCCTATCAGTCCCCATTGTCGGCCAAATCACTTTCATTAAAAGGTTTCGAGATCGAGGAAGTTGGGGCATCAGGAGGCGGTCAACGTGCACTCCAAAGGGTCCCTGGGGGATTGTGGGCCAGTAACCTCTTTTTTGAAAGGTGGAAAACATGGGCGGGATTTATGGTGGGTCTCCCTACGCTCTATGTTCTGGGCGTCGATGGCGGGTGGGTCAAGGGTTTGCGTCACGTCGCGGTGCTCTCTGCTGCTCTGGGGGCTTTCAGATATTTCTTGTTGTTTTTCCTTGTTCATCCGGAGTGCAGACTCTCCGCTTCTCGCGCTTTTCTGTGATTACCGCTTTGCCCTTGGCGGGCTCGTCGTTGGCTGCACGGTCTCCCGCCACCCTCCTCTGTCCTATCTATTGGCTTTTTCTCTCTCTCTTCCATTTCTCTCTCGTCTCTCATCGTCGATCGTCGCGATGGTGCTTCGCCGTTTCCAGGTTAAACCAATTTTGCTTGTAATTTAGTTCTAATTATTTCATAACTTAGTCTTTACCTTTATGCCCGTTTCTTTGTCTAGTCCTCTCAAATCTTGATAGATCTTTTATTTCCTTTTATGTCATGCTCTCCGTTCAGTCCTGCTTCATCCTGCTCTTCTCTTGCTCCCCCTTCATCTCTTCATAACTTTCTAAGGCCTTTGCTTTGGGTTTTTCGCTTCCTATATCTCTATATATATACTCTCTACCTCTCTTCTCACGTCCATTGTCCAGTGTATGGTAGCATAGTAGTAATATATATACGTCGTCTTATATCTCTCTTCTCTATAGCCTCTCTTTCTTACTGATCATTAAGTATAGTCTTTATAGTATAGGTATCTCTCTATCTCGTCATTTCTATATATATACTCTCGCTACTGCTAATCATCTTACCCCTGATCTCTACTATAGTACCGTCTCCTTATACTCTACTTCGTTATCGTTCATTTGCTCCACTTTTCATTCTCTTTCATCGTATAACTCTATATCTCATCTCTATTCTATACTGTATGTATATATTGTATTTCATCTCTCTCTAGTGTATGTTAGTGTGTGCGTCCCTGTGTTCATGTGTGTTTCGCCTGTGCGTGTGTTGGTCGTCTGTGTGGTTGTGTGTGGTATGCTTCTTGTCTCGTCGCCTGCATTCGTGTGCGTGTGTGTGCATATCACGAACCTCTACATTCTGTACTCCCTTATGTGAATTCCCTGCAACCTCAGTCCAGGGCTACATAAGGTCTTCGGTTCTATCCTTCTCTATTGCTTGGCCATTTTCTTGATTTTATAGGGCATATATAAAAGAAAAAAATAGGATGCATTATTTATCAAATCAACTTTCGATATATTGATTGTTTTCCAGTTTGTTTATGTCTAAACTCGCTCACATATCAAGCATCATCATTTTCATATAAAACATTTATTTATCTATGCGCGTAAGCGTTTAGCAAGTAGGCTACATATATTTCAGCATTATGCGGTTCTACTCGGATTTCTTACGCCTATCTTCACTAACCACTCTTATTTTTTAATATTGGATTTGGGTCTCATCTTTGTCTAGAAAAAGGGAACGTAAAGCTCGTGTATATCCCATTCTGCTCTTATGGTGGTTTGCCGCCTGAGATGTCGGCATGCTTCTCCGATAGTTGCTTTCTTAAACGATATATCTGTTGTTAAAATCAGGTAAAAGTAATTATTCGCAACTCAATATTAACAAGTAATATACAAAAAAGGCAATCAACCACATTGCGAGCCCAACTACGTAAAAGAGTTACGTGGTAAAACTAATTAAACTATCATACCAAAACCAATGGCTCATACATCATGTAAAAAATATCTAATTAAGTAGACTCAGCACTGTCTTAATCATTTCAAATTATCGGTCTTTTGGATAAAATACAAAATAGACAAGGAGGGGATTAACGATAAAAAAAACTACAAAGTTACCAAGCATTTAATTCACGTATACTGTAGTATCTATGGTCAACTGTTGGTTTCCGTATTCGTATTCCACTGGCTTCACAATGCGCCAAAGATTACTATTCAGGTAATGGAGAACAGATCAATATATACTACCAATCTCGACTAAACAAATTAAAACAATGCCTCTCTGTCTACGCCTGTGACGCTCGGGTGGGTTGGTGGGCGGGATTCTGCACTATTATTTACGTGTCTGTCGCAGTTTTCACGACATGCGCAATATCATGCATCATGTGCGGACGCGCAGTTACTACCAGAATAAAACGT